ATGGTGTGTAGTCGTGTGGAGGTGTGGAGGGGATGATGGTGTGTAGTCGTGTGGAGGTGTGGAGGTGATGATGGTGTGTAGTCGTGTGCAGGTGTGTTGGGGCTGATGGGTACAGTCGTGGAGGGTGGTGTGGAGGGGATGATGGTAGGCAGTGGTGTGGAGTTGTGTGACTATCAGTTACACGGGACATTTAAAGTGGATTTGGAGCAGCGTCAGCCTGTGTTCGTGAATGTGGGTTGGGCTCCCACGGTCAGGGGTCTCCCACGGGAACGCATGGCCGCTGGTTGACAGCGTGAGACTGCTAAGTGGAGAGTGCAGCTGGGCCAGGAGGAGGGGCTGTGGAGAGAATGCCTGTGTTTGCGCTGGAGGCGGGGAGGGGCAGTTTTAACAAACAGGTGGAGGGCAGGCGTCCAGCAGGCGTCCAGCAGGCAGCGCTCCTTGCAGGGCGCACGGTAGGTTTTGTGAGCCGGGGGCACGTGGCCCATGTCGGCGGCAGGGGTGCCGGGGCACCGGGCCAGCACACGGCCTCCGCGGAACTGAGTGCCGCCCTGCTGTCCTCCGCCCGCAGGCTACCACTACAACGACCTGGTGTCCCCGCAGTACCTGAACCTCATCGCGAACCTGTCGGGCTGCACGGCGCACCGGCGCGTCAACAACTGCTCGGACATGTGCTTCCACCAGAAGTACCGCACGCATGACGGCACCTGCAACAACCTGCAGCACCCCATGTGGGGCGCCTCGCTGACCGCCTTCGAGCGCCTGCTCAAGTCCGTGTACGAGAACGGCTTCAACACCCCGCGGGGCATCAACCCCCAGCGCCTGTACCACGGGCACGCGCTCCCCATGCCGCGCCTGGTGTCCACCGCGCTGATCGGCACGGAGAGCGTCACGCCCGACGAGCAGTTCACGCACATGCTGATGCAGTGGGGCCAGTTCCTGGACCACGACCTCGACTCCACGGTGGTGGCCCTGAGCCAGGCGCGCTTCTCCGACGGGCAGCACTGCAGCTCCGCGTGCAGCAACGACCCGCCCTGCTTCTCGGTCCTCATCCCCCCCAACGACCCCCGGGCCAGGAGCGGCGCGCGCTGCATGTTCTTCGTGCGCTCCAGCCCCGTGTGCGGCAGCGGCATGACCTCGCTGCTCATGAACTCCGTGTACCCACGGGAGCAGATCAACCAGCTCACCTCCTACATCGACGCCTCCAACGTGTACGGCAGCACGGAGCACGAGGCCCGCAGCATCCGCGACCTGGCCAGCCACCGCGGCCTGCTGCGGCAGGGCATCGTGCAGCGGTCCGGGAAGCCGCTGCTGCCCTTCGCCGCGGGGCCGCCCACCGAGTGCATGCGGGACGAGAACGAGAGCCCCATCCCCTGCTTCCTGGCCGGGGACCACCGCGCCAACGAGCAGCTGGGCCTGACCAGCATGCACACGCTGTGGTTCCGCGAGCACAACCGCATCGCCGCGGAGCTGCTGCAGCTGAACCCGCACTGGGACGGCGACACCATCTACTACGAGACCAGGAAGATCGTGGGCGCCGAGATCCAGCATATCACCTACCAGCACTGGCTCCCGAAGATCCTGGGGGAGGTGGGCATGCGGGCGCTGGGGGAGTACCGGGGATACGACCCGGGCGTCAACGCTGGCATCTTCAACGCCTTCGCCACCGCGGCCTTCAGGTTTGGCCACACGCTGGTCAACCCGCTCCTTTACCGGCTGGACGAGAACTTCCAGCCGATCGCCCAAGGCCACATCCCCCTGCACAAAGCCTTCTTCTCTCCCTTCCGGATTGTGAACGAGGGCGGCATCGACCCGCTGCTCCGCGGGCTGTTTGGGGTGGCGGGGAAAATGCGGGTGCCCTCGCAGCTGCTGAACACGGAGCTCACGGAGCGGCTGTTCTCCATGGCGCACACGGTGGCCCTGGACCTGGCGGCCATCAACATCCAGCGTGGCCGGGACCACGGGATCCCGCCCTACCACGACTACAGGGTCTACTGCAACCTGTCGGCGGCACACACGTTCGAGGACCTGAAAAATGAGATAAAAAACCCTGAGATCCGGGAGAAACTGCAGAGGTGAGCTGAGGAGGCCGCGTGGGGTGGCTCACATACCTAGGCACCAGGAGGACCCAAACTGGGTGTGCGTGTTATCTCTGTGTGAGTGCTGTTCCTGTCGGGCAGAGGTTAGGAGGAGCGAGTCCATGAAGGTCAAGATGAGAAGGCCTGCAGCCTCCGGTGGCTCCTGGCTGTGGGAAGGGGGCAGAGCCAGGGGTGGGTGGATGGTGGAGGGCCCTTCCGCCAGCCTGTTTTCTACAAGACAAGCTTTGCTGAGCTGTGGCACGTTTTCACCTTGGAGATGAGCCATACTTTTGTGGCAGAGGGGTTGACTGCAGAGAGAAATAAACTGCACCAGAAAATACTAGAACTGACACTGGCTGTTAGGAGCCTCAGGCTCCTTCCTGCTCTTGTACTGGGGCAGAGAGAGAGGCAGAGCTTGGTGTCTGCAGAACTGGGCCCTTGAGGCCACCACCCCTAAGGCTTGGCCTGTAGTGTCTCCCATATCGTGTCGTCCAGACCCGGGCCTGTGGGGTCACCTGCCCATGACTGCCACAGACAGCACGACTTCTGAGCCACAGCCTTGATCACCTGTGGGCGCAGTTCTTGTCCTGCCATGAAAGCAAAATGGGAGGCCATCACCCCTGAGACAAGGAAAGCTGGCCAGGTGGGTTAGGGCACCTTGGGCCATGTGCAGTGGCAAAAAGTGGCAAAGTTCCATAGGCAAAGCAGCAGCCATGGCACTACCCAGGTCTAGGTCTGGGGTACGCTCAGGGCTGCCTGCTCCATAGCCAGGCCCTCACCCAGGACTCTGTGCTGTGGTGGGGTTCTGATTCACATTCTGAATTCCCCAAAGTGTAGACGTCCAGTGACTCTCCTGTTTTCTAGATGTTCACATCTGTCTTTTATTCGCTACCTTTTTTTCATGTTATTTCTACCAGTCTATTTGCTTTTTGTATTTTAAGGAAATAAAAATAATTGCAACTGTGCGCAGTGGCTCACGCCTGTAATCCCAGCTACTTACTAGGCTGAGGCAGGAGAATCGCCTGAACCCGGGCGGCAGAGGTTGCAGTGAGCCGAGATCACGCCGCTGCACTCCAGTCTGAGCAGCAGAGTGACTTGGTCTCAAAAAAAAAAAAAAAAAACCTCGTCAGTGTTTTCCCTTTATGATTCTTCACAGTCCTTGACTTATGAATCAGATCCACAGATCACTGTGTATTAGGACATGTTAATTCCCACTCAAAAACATTGTTTTAAAAAGAAGAAAAATCTTTCTTAAGACTATCTTCTCGTGTTTTCTGGACTCTCCAGTTTACTCCTAAGTTACTTAATGCTGGTTAGGACATACCCTGTTTGTTTGGATGCAGCCTGTGCCTTCTAAACAAAAGTGATTTTTAACTTATAATTCATTGCAGGTAATGAATAAATGAACATGATGTCCTATTAAGTTTAATATGTTCCAGCGTTCATTTAAATAATGCTCTTAAATGACTGGCATTTGGAAATATATACATACTCCATTAATCCAGTGTAATTTTTTGTCTTGGTTTGCTGAACTAGGACTGATGTGAACTGTCTGTGTTTTTATGCGCTGACATCCTCCTTTGTTCTTGTCCAGATGGACACAGATTACTCTCCCAGCTGATTCTCTCTTTGGCCAAACTTATTTAAAAACAGTTCAAAAGCGCACGATGTGGAGCCCAGCACCGGGTGGAGCCCAGCACCGGGTGGACCGCAGACTTTTTGCACGCTAGGCCCCGGCAAAAACGTTAAGGACGTTCCCCACACACTGAGCCACTCGTTTCTTTAGTGATGTCTTTCTGTCTCAGCCCATTGCTGACTAAAGGGAAGAGAAAGAAATTTGAGAAGAGTTACATGACCGTCGGAGACCATGGGGCCGGGAGGACTTCACAGGGCACAGGGGTTGCCTGCAGCAGACCCTAGAGATTGTGTAGTTCTCATCTGCTTTGTGGGCACTTAGGTAAAGATGTGTCTCACGACCTCACAGTAAGCAGAGGGCATGGGGTTGGCTGGGCTCACCTCTCCTGCCCATCCCCAGCCGTGGGACATCATTGGACTGCAAGTCCTCTTCTTTGGAGGAAGCTCCTTGGATTCGGGTAGAGGCTTCAGACTGGTGTGATGGGGGGGTCCCTCCCAGAGGTGGGGACAGAAAGAGAGCAGGGCGCCTGGAGCAGGAGGGAGTCCTCTGGGAAAAGGTGTGGACGCCTCTGGTGATCCTAGTGTGCTGTTCTCAGCCACAGACCAGATGCCGCCGGGGTCCTCCCGACCAAGACTCCCAGGGGACATCTGAGAGCTAGAAGTTCAGCCTGAATGTCATAGAACTTAGAAGAAAAAGGGACAATTTGTCTGTCTTTGAAAGACTAAATGCTAGTTTACATGAAATTGTGTTTATTCTACTGCAAGACCGGTGGCCGCTGAGGACTCAGCCCTGTCTGTTCATAGCAGCAAACTTTTAATCCCTGGGCCAGTTCCTGGTCACTGAGCTGAGTTTTGTAGAAAAGGGCAGTCTGAATTACAGAATATATGTATCTTAAAAATTTAGTTGAGCTTTGAATAGCAGTTGAAACAGGCATCATCTGCTGCCTAGTCAAGTTCTAAGATAAGATTAGAATGATTTGTCAGAAGTAGAAGTTGTGACATGTTGCTTATAAGCCCGTATTTCTAAGGAATTGGAAGAAGTTGATGAAAATGTTTGTTCTGAAACATTTAAACCTAATTTTTTTTGCCTGATCTTTGCTTAGCAAATATTTTCTTTATGGCAGATATATTTTCAATATGTAGTAGAATCAAATTTTATTCTTTAAAAATGTATCTATATACTTTAAAAAATAAACATATGAACAATAAACTACATACATTTAGGTATTTATAGTTGACTGTTCACATGTTTATTTCAAAAAGATTGGAAGGGTATACATTAGGATGTTAAGTGTGGCTATCCCTGAATATCAGGAAAAGGTGTGGCTTAAATTTTCTTCCTTACATTTTCTTGGCTTTTCTAAATTTGTTCTAATGAGAGAGAGAGAGAGAGAGTGTGTGTATATGTGTATGTGTGTGTGTGTGTTGCATATATAACAGAAAGTGGGGAAAAACTTTTAAAGCATAGTGGAGAGATGCTTCAAAGAAGAAAGATTTTCTTTGTTAAGTCAATTCTAAATAATGTAAGATGGTGACAGAAAGAAGGAACTGCTTTCATATTGCGGTGTTTTCACCACGTGCAGCTCTCTTAGGTAAGTTTCGGTTTTCTCCTCATGTTTTAGGTTGTATGGCTCAACACTCAACATCGACTTGTTCCCGGCACTCATGGTGGAGGACCTGGTGCCCGGCAGCCGGCTGGGCCCCACGCTGATGTGTCTTCTCAGCACACAGTTCAAGCGCCTGCGAGATGGGGACAGGTGAGCACATGCCCCAGAAAGGGGAGGTCGCTCCCCAGCCAGCTTCTCAGGGACTCCGGGGCAGAGGAGCCGCCCTGGTTGAGGATGAGGAAGCCACTGAGGCCCTGGTGTCTCCTGTGTGCCCGTGGGCTTGCGTGTCAGCCTCAGAACTCAGCCGCACCAGGTTCAAAGAGGCTTCCCGCCCCCTCATTTCTAGGAATATTTCTGTTCCTGTAAACCTACTGAACAGTTCATACAGGAAAACAAACCACGGTGGGACTTCAGAGCAGTTTGGGCTTCGGGAAAGACCTTTGTTTTCTCTCTAGTCTTGTGTTACTATTTTACTTGAATGTAGTGGAAAGGCAGACCCTACCTATGACTATAGCTGCCTGCCATGCTGGTTTTTTTTTTAAGTTGCCAGTTGTCTGTGTTGCTAGTCAGAAGAGCTAACACTCTGTCGTGTTTACAGCAGATGCTCTGCCTTTGCTTTCGTTGTTGAGCAGATGTGAGCCGTGCATGGGTCCGTTTTTAAGTGGCGCCTGATCAAACCCAGTAGTTTCTGCATTGCTGTGAACTGAGTTGGGGAGATTTTCACTCAGCTCCTGGTGGCCTGTGAGTCTCCTGCCCTTCTCTGATCCTGCTCTCATACTGGGGAATCCAGGTTGTGGTATGAGAACCCCGGCGTGTTCTCCCCGGCCCAGCTGACTCAGATCAAGCAGACATCGCTAGCCAGGATCTTGTGCGACAACGCGGACAACATCACCCGGGTGCAGAGCGACGTGTTCAGGGTGGCGGAGTTCCCGCACGGCTACGGCAGCTGTGGAGAGATTCCCAGGGTGGACCTGCGGGTGTGGCAGGACTGTTGTGAAGGTGCGTGCCAGGGGCGCCACGCATGTTCCTTTTTCATGCCTGGTGTTGGTGACTGCTTGGCGGGTGCTTAGTTACCTGCAGATGTCATCCTAATCCTGAAAACTGAACTGAAAGCAAAATATTCAGCTTTAGATTTAAACTGTGCTGTATCCATGCTGAGGTGGACTGCGGAGCCAAAAATGTAGACAAATTCTGAGGAATTGGCAGTGCTGTGGGAAAACATTCAGGATAACTAAAACACTGTGTCAGAGAAACAGAAACCCAGGCTTCAGCAAGCTGTGCCCCTGATTTTTCCTTCAAACCTAATGTATGTGCAGCTTCCAGCACTTGTGCTAGCCTATATATCTGTATCCTCAGACAAAACGCAAAAATCAACACCTGAAAGAAGCATCAGGTTTTCTTTAAATATATCAGGTTTTATTTTAAAATTATGCTGAATGTTCTAAATATCTGTAACCTAAATAACTACAGATGGATGTTATGAAACACCTTGTGAAGGAGCGAGTGCCCTGCAGGTAGGAGGTGGTCTCATGATCAGTGTGGGGGGCCTGTAGCTGAGGGATGCCCTGACACCAATCCCACAGCTCCCCCGGCACTCGTGTCCTGGCGCACCCGCTCCCCGCAGAGGCGTCAGTGGCCTGCTGCACGCGGCAGTGGTGTCCTGGCGCACCGGGTCCCTCTTCCCCGCAGAGG